AATTTTGTTGACATTCGCTTACTAATTTAAAAGTTATAGCACAAAATGGTTACGAGGTTGGTCCCACGGACTGAGCCTGGGTTGAAAGAGTTAAATGAAAACACTACTTAGCAATAGAAATTAACCCAAAATAGGCGTGTTGTAATAAAAATAATGGAGCAGTAAAACTATCTTGTTTATGGATACATGTGGTGCCATAGTAGTTAATTCACATAGTGATGTAAAACATTTAGAATAATAGGCAAAGAAATGACCTCATTTGAAACTGTCTACAATGATAACAGTCCAAAGTTTAATTATGTTCTTGTTAAGTGTATTTACCAAGTGTTTTGGGCATTATTTATGCCTTTCTTATTTCCTATAGCAGTAACACAGGTCTGTGAATTTAAACTTCATAAACGTTGGTTTGGTTTTAATAACAGATATTCTATAATTCAGCTATGCAGATTTCAAAAACAATATACATTTTTTTTATAAATTTGGAAAAAAAATCCTTCTTAGATCAAATTATTTTGTGTTTCTCTCATGGGTTCTGGAATGATTGGTCTAGAGAAATATATATATAGCCAGTGGTTATAAACATTTTAAGCATAAAATGATTCACTTATGTAAAAGTACATGATGTGTTGTGAAAAATCTGTATGCAATAGAGAAAAATTTCGAGACAATAAAACCATCGCAGGCCTGTGTAATCAGATGTTAATGGTTAGTACTATTTTTGTTACTATGAATACCTAATTTCATAAAATAGCCTTTCAAAATTTAAATAAACACATTAAAGTTAATTCACAACTTTAGAAAATGTTATTACTGTACATTTGATTAACAACATACATTCAAATGGTTTTAAGTAAGAGAAACTTATATTCCATCAGGTTTGATTAAAAACAGGAGGGAATCCTCAATAGCTTAGCACTTGAAATTCTTTTAAGCAGGATTATAATAAATTAATCTGAGACTTTTTTCCATTTTATTAGCTATATTTTTGTATGCCAGCAACACCAGATTCAATTTTATTACTCATCAGGATCTCTACCAGCCTACCCTCAAGTTAAAATTATTTCAGGCGGGATTAGACTTAATTAATCTATGAGACCCTGGGCATGATCAAATACATCTATTGAAAAGGTTTGACCTCCTCAGTACGAAACCATACTTAGATCTGAAATTGATCAAGAGATGGAGCTATGAGCTAAAAGTTTGTACTGGAAAAAAAAACTTGGCCCTTTTTTAAGCACTCCTAAAATTGAATTAAAATATACAGGATTTTGTATAGTCAACCCATAGTTATATTACAGCCTCTTTCTTTAAGTTGTAACTTAAAATCTCATGAAATAGTTTCTTTCAATATTGTACAACTAAGAGTATTTGTTATAAGAATCATGACTGATGCATTTTAAATTCCGTAATCTGATATTTATATCTTACGAATTAATTTTCACGGTCTAGTCAGTAGGATTTAACTTTGTTTATGCTACAAAAAATTAAACTCTTTAGCATTTCATTCTTTTATTTTAATAAAGTTTTTTCCACTGTGATAATGCTGTTTGTAACACTACACAGATAAATACTTGGTTCGGGTGTACCTTTTAATATGTTCTTTATCATCATCATCATGCTCATTTATAAAATGTAACTACACCATGTCTACAGTAATTTTTGCTTTTAAGATTTAAACAAGATTACTGTAGAGAATAAGTTATCTTTTGTGTTATGATAATTAGAAGGAATATACATGCCTGGAAGATCTATTAAAGCATTAAAAAGAAAAGTGTCAGTAAAAATACACTCAGAATAAATATATTTGCTACATCTAATTAAAAACAAACATATAAATTGATTCAGTATTTGAAATTTTACAAGTCACTCTTGTCATATTTACACTCCATAAACATTTTTTCATTATTTAACTTATCTTTATTATCCCTGAAAATATGCAATTGAGAGTTCAAAGTTATTTAAGTATACATAATGTTTGTAGCCATTACTAATTTATCTGATTGGCATTTATTCAGCAAAAAACATTTCTATATGTCTCTAGTTAAACCAAATGCAACATTGTTCTTCTAAAACATCTTTACATGTGAATTACAATCCTGTTCTCTTCATCACATTTAATAAGAAAGCTATCATGCTATACGTTGTGAGAAACCCTCTTTACGCAAGTGAATAGAAACAAGTTGTATTTCATTAACATTAATATGTAATTATCACAAACTTCAGAAACCTACTTTTATCATGCATAATCTTAAAACTCAAGTTTAATTTACAAGATAACAGATCACACGTTGTTAACTTTATACACTTTGGAAAATGTTTTAAATACTAATGAATATTCATGTCACCAGACCATAAGGCATCTAATGTCAGTGGTTATACAAAAGACTACATGTGGTTTTGAATATTAAACTACTAATGTATCACCCTTATAAGGAGGCCATAAATCTACATTAACACCTGTTCTCTTAAAACAAAATTAACTAAAAGCATTTAAACAATGGATAGATATATTTCTGGTGCTAGTTTTTGTTATTCTGAAACTTTTCTAAACCTCAGAATATGAAATGTTTTTATTCTGACTGATTAAACAACAATGAAAAGCCAAGCTTTAAGAATATAAAGAAGCTATACTGGGATGTTAATCAAAGCCATCTGTGAAGTCGTATATTGATCCACTATGGTTGTTTGAACTTGGATTTCTTGGAGTAATACGTCTATATCGGCTTCTTCTAGTGGGTCCAAGTCCACTGCTTTCAAATGAAGGACTCCTTTCTCTTACAAAAGGGACTTCATTGTCACTAGATGAATTTTGTTCATCTAGTAAAATCTTTCGACAAACTGGACATGTTCCATGCTGAAATTGTATGAAAAAAATTAGAATAAGAGTCCCACTACAAATTGGGCAAATTATGTTATCCAGTTTCACTAGTATAAGCTCACAAGTAGCTAACAAGTAATTACATATTTACTGAAATGAATATTAAAACTAATTAACTTTGTTTACAACAGCAAATGCTGGTTGGTAACATATAGTATCTTAATTTCCACACCACGACTTCTTACAACCTACATTCAGAACATATTGATGGCTATTAAAATGATAAATCCTCCAGTTTCCTCTTCTCACCCAATGTAACTGTAAGTATAACATCTTCGAAATAAAAAATATTTATGGTTTTAATGACAGTTCTGTCACTTAGCCAAATTAACATGATGCCCATAAAAGGTTTGTACTTCAGTTGTGACAAATTATACTTTTTATGAGTCTAAATCTAAAAAAATGGTCATATTGCAAAATATTTGGGTTTTAACTGGTAAGAAAAACAATTTTATAATCAATTAAAAAACTGTTTAAACAGTAAATTCTACCATACTAAAACTATTAGTGTAAATTTTTCTACAGCATGATTTAAGATAATGTATCATCATTACTAATAACAAGTTTAATATTCTTTCTTCATTTGCCTACTACATGGCCATTTTAAAGTGATTTGTCATGTTATTTCATGATGAACTTAGATATCTGATACTGTCTGGTAAAACTAATTGTAGAATCAAATAAGTACCCTCAGTTCTTTTGAATATCATAATATAACACTATCTATTAATTTTATTACGATTACTATTTTCAAAATAAAATCACAAATTACCACCAGTGTTATGAATATAAATACTAAAAAGATTTTAATTTAAAACTTTTTTTACAAAATTATATGTTGTACTTCGTTTACTAATCTTTGAAACTTTCAAATTAAAAAATAGAAAACTAATAACTTGATATTTCAGTGTAATCTTTCCATCTAAGTAGAAAAAGTCTCACCAATTCAAGCCAAGGGATAATACACTCATTATGGTAATGGTGTTGACAGGATAACTTTTTTACTGGTTCCCCTAATTTAAAATCTTCCATACACACTGTACACTGAAGGCTTTTTTCTGAAAGTATATTAATTTTGCAATAATTTACCACAATAAAAACTTCATAATAAAATGTGTTTTCTTGAAGACATGAATTCAAAATGTAGTTAGCTTTTCAGAAAATAAGATCTGGGATTTAATTATCAAGATTAAAATTGTTGCCCATATTGCTAATAAATGGCAAGTTTCATAACAAATTAGTTTTACAATGTGCATTGTTCTTTTCAAACTAATTATTTCCAAGTGAAACTCTGTTTATGAGAGAGAGAAATGTGACCAAGCCATGCACAACATTCTATTAAAAGGAATTAATTTATGACAACTTAAACTAACCCACTTGTTCCTCTACTATTTGAACCGTAGGAATCTCTGCTATTTTTTCTTTTGGTAAAGGAGGTGGGCCAGTGCCATCTATCCGATTAAGGAGCTGTGAAAAAAGTAACAATTTAAATACATAAAAGTGCCTAGCCAAAAACCAAAGGCTTATACACCAATACTAAATTTACTAAATAACCATGGTTTATCTTCACAAAAATATCTGAACTGTAGACTGGAAGTTACCATTTGTTTTTCCACTTCATTAAAAAAATATCTGACTTTTAGTAACATTGATGTTTTTCAAAGTCCAGATAGCTTATAACCAATTTCAAAACAGGATGTCCTACTGTTTTTCAACACTGTCAGGATGTTAAACAATTAATGGTGTTATAAAAAGATTCAAGTACTGAAGTATAATAATAACAACAACAGTTTTTGTTAGGTATTCTTCATGACTCCATCTACTCTAGTTACAATCTACTGCATAAAAATATACCACTTAAGAAATTATGCTTCATATTATACATAACATACTTGTGTTTTCTAAAACATTTAATTAAACAGATAAAAATTAAGGATCTGCGACTGTTCATAAAAGTTTTTTTTAAGCTTTACTTGGTGCAATAATAGTTATCCATAAATCAGTTAATTTTAACAAGTTCTTCCATACAGATAAACTACAGTGTTACAAAAATATAGTACAATGTAAACCAGATCAGTTTCACACTACATATTACCATATTGGTCCAATTATAGGGTGATTTTGAATATAAGACAACTCCCATGTTCATAAACCATGGGAAAGAAAAAAAAAATTGAATGGCATAACAATCCCTTTTTTTTTTAGGTCTGCAAAATCAATGCTATAACTAAAAAGTCTGCAGGTGGATTAGTTGCAAGAATTAGCGATTACCTTGAGTGAACATTCAGGAATGTGACAGGCTAGAGTAGGGGGAAAGGGGCCTGTGGTCAGCCACAATTAAAAGACGACTATGCATGTGTGTATATTAGTTATTTACTGACTTAAACTTACCTCTGTAATAATGGAATCAAGACTTTCCCTTCCCCAGGCATAATCTCCTGGATTTCCGTGCAAGTTGAAAAACCTACGAGACATGACAAATTTGCTTTAAAAAGACTAGGTTCCAATTATTATTCTACTTGCACAACATATCTTTATTAACACTATCAACAACAACCTAACCAATTCTGTGTTTTAATGTTTATAACACAACTGACATCCAGTTAACTTAGACATTAATTAAACATATGAAAAAAAAAGGATGTCAGGTTAAATAAATTTCTTTCTAATATGACATAACAACAGAGTAATCTTAATTCAAACTTACATTGGTATGGCCCCATTGCCCAAAAAATCTGCAAAAACAAAAAATGAAGTCGGGCATACAACAATATCACAGTAGGTTCAGTCATCAGTGACATAAAAGACAAGCTATTACAATTGTCATGTGCTATTATCAAAATTCTGCTGTATCTGATAATATTCATTCAACTTTAAAATTTCACTTTGGTACCAATGGATATCATGTTACATTCTATTGACAGTTGAACTAAAGTGAATTTTAATATACACATAACATGACCCCGACTAGTCTGTCTGTTCAATGAGAAACTTTTAACACAAGATTCAATGCAACTCTCGAAGAAGAAGAAGAAAAAAAAATAATACCAAAAATCTCCAGAAAATGTTTACTGCAAGAGAAATTATAAGAAGTAACTATTATCTACCTATTATATGACTGAACAACGTTGGTTGATCAACATAAACTTATCAATACATTATCTCATCAAGAACCTATTTTTCTTCTTGTTATAAAAAAATGTGATTACTTAACATGGTAAAACTTAATAAGCCTTAATAAAATGTAAATATATATATCAAAAAGTTGTCTTCAGATTCAACATTGTTGAGAAAATACAATATACTTTTAAGTTTAAAATCAGGAAATATCCAACAATTTAAGTATTGTATACAAGAAATGAAACTGTATCATGCATTTAATATTGTATTCATTTCATAAATGTCTTAAAATTGTTACCATCACATCATGATGACTAAGGCAGCCTATCACAAATTATATTAATTTTCACAAGTAGAAAAATGCAAACAATATAACAATTATTATAAGAAACATTCCAGGTTTGCTGTTAACAGGACTAATATATTTAAAGACAAACCATGAGTAAATGGATAAATAATAAACAATTCTCATACTGAAATATCCCTTTTGTTTTCCAGACTGTTATTCATGTGTTTCAAGAAAATTCATTATTTCCTAATGTAAAATCTAATAATTATATTAATATGAGTTATACAGTGAAAAATATTTTTCCGTTACCTGCATCTCCAAAGAGACTGGCAAAAACTTGATGAATTATTCTGAAAGATGTAGATAAAAAATTCGTAAACACATATACATACACAATACAATATTGCAGAAATATAAATTTTGTCAACATAAAATAATACATGTTCATTAGTTGTCCGTTTCTCTCACTTAAATACAGACAACAGAATAAAAAAACTTTATATTATTGATACTGATGTAAGTTCATAATATGGGTGATAGATGTATAAAACATAAAAACTAATTTTTTATTTGTTTTTTGTATTTTTGGGCTATCAATTCTGTAACTAATACTTTCTTACAAGCTTTAAAAAACCTAAAACAGTACATCATGATGACATGAGAAATCTTTAAGCATGTTATTAATGAAACCTTTAATACAATTAAAATCTCAGATACAAATTAAAGAGATGTTTTGTTTTAAAAGTTAAATACTCCATAATCAGAAATCAAACACTGATATTGATTGTTTTCTGTAAATATTATTTCTTTAATGTTACTTTCATTAACAATATTGTTTACAATGGTTTAATTATTTTTTTATTATACTTTTATTATAGAGACTGTTTTGCACTGTTAGGTTTATATGGATTTATGACTAATCAAAGCTGGCCAAATCTCATGAGATACTATGGGGTACCCAACTGATGAAATAATGCATTCTAATCTTTATAAGTAAAAAATGTAAGAAATGAATATTTCATTAACTGTACTCATTACCAGTTTGGATTTGCTCTAAAAAGGTAGTTTGCTCTGATCAGAAGTTAATATTAATTAGGCTAGCAGAAATAAAACTTTAATTTCATATGAAAAAAGGTTGCCCATTTTCCAATATTCCATCAAAAATATTATGCAAAGTTAATTGGTCTCAGGGAACATAAAATCAAATACGAGTTTTATTTTGTATTAAATCTCAGGAAAAATTGTCTTTCACATAAAACAGCAACATATGATACATTTTTTCTATGAATAATCTTTATGATCTCAGCTTAAATACAGATTTGATAATTATCATGCAACAGATTTAATTAGATTAAAAAACAAACTTTCTTGCACATGGTTACTGCCCGAAACCTCA